TCACTAGTTGGTGACCTAACCACTTGGCTACCACCGCCCCAATCTAATTTTAATGAAGAAGACAAAACAGTTCAAAATTCTTTGCACCAACCGATTAGAGAAACAACTATTAGATACACATGTCTGACGAGTGGCAAGAACCGCAAAACCGATCGTGTGCATCTAGTCATTCATGTACTACTTATTGTAAAATATGCATATATCACTGAACAAGCGCATTGCCAATGCGACAAAAATAATAAAGAAAAGTGAGATTTGGGTGCGAAATCGATGTGAACAAACTACTTGTGGAAAATTTGATGGACGAGAACCACAATGTTTTCGTTTTTTTGTTTCACTGCAACTTTGGCACTTTTTTGGCAAATATCCTATTCTCCAATCGTTCAAGTGCCAATGGCCAGTACAAATGCATGGCATCTGTTTTCACAAGGCACTGGCGAACGATCACGTTTGGATGAGATCAGATGTGACACAACTGCCACCTATCTAATCAGATCCACTCTGTACCCTCGGTATATGACACACACCCTAGATATATTTAGTCACTCTACGTGATCAGATGCTAACCGACGGCGAGGCCGGGGGGTGGGTTAATGGGCACTAATTGCCAGCAACTGTCTGCTGCTAATGAGTGCGTCTATTACGGCATTGTATCACCCATCCGATATGCTAGTAAGTGATCACACAGACCAGACTGATGTGTACGACAAGCTTGGGCATATCATGATATTTCAATAAATTCAGCATATTGTGGACACACAATCAGCCTAATTGCGGCAGTCAGGGCGCGCCCTTGTTGGAAGAAACCCCTTTCTATGCGATGCAGGCGCAAAAGGGAACCGAAGATCCGGTCAACTGTTACCATCCAGCAGAGTTGTATCCATTCAGAGCGACTGTTTGCGGAATCAAATACGAGATCTCACAAACAGAAGACAAATTTACCGTCCATAGATAGTAACTCACTCAGAGTGATCGGACTGATCCATTACGTCCACTGGGCGTTTGTTTCCTCCAGCCCAACACTTTCCAATATGTACATATATGCACAAATTGTTTGTTAATTGAAGCCCGCTTCAAAAACAATAGCGGTGCACAATAACTACGTTTAGTGAACAATTTTATTAAACAAGAAGACAATTATTCGATAGTTAAGCGAAGCTGGATCCATCACCCTTTTTTGCTGTTGACTCTTGACACGTTGTGTCGCAAAACTCTTCATCGCATCACTGGAAAAATAAAACTAAACTCAAGAGAAGTTAAGAGCTGCTGCTGATGCTGCACGTGGGTATGATTATTAATTGTTCATAGTTGTTGCAGCGTGAAATCGGCAGATACCTAAAATACGTGCAATAAACAAGATGTAAAGGATTTTTGAAATAATTTGTTTGAATAAATGACAGATTGAAAACAGGTTTGGCTTTATCCGTACTACAATCATGAATGTGAATGCAGTGACAGGTCACCATAGATCTCGTCGATTTGATCCACGGAAGTGCTCCATTGTTTCCATTCTTTGTTTGACACGATGATGCAACCGCAATGCCTGCAGAGACGAGAATGCGAAAAGTGTGAAAGCTCGATCAGTTTCACAGTTTAAAAATGACAGTAATGATGAAGAAATGCTACCTCTTCCAAATTTATTCATTATCGTTAGCAAACTCGATAGTTTTGGGCTTGTTGTACACTTTCGAGTGCGATAGCTGTTTCGTCCTGTTTAGGACGCGTCAGCAGTGTGTACTTTTTGTGTCTCCGTGTCAGGACTCGAACCACGATCAGTCGGATTGGGACTTGAAACCCTTACCCCCGTGAGCTACACGATCGACGTTCATCGCCTTTTGCGAGGGCAAATGGCTCAATCAATTTAGAGTATCAAGCTTGGATTTGCCCATTCATTTATTACGTGGGTAGTGACATTTTAGGGCATCTCAACACTTCACACACACACAATTGAATAGCTATACAACTCTTACTATCCACAGAAAGAGCTGTCCCAGTTATCTCTGAATAAAGTAATCAATGAAATTGTTTAGCCCAAGGAATGATTAAACCAAGTGGGTTGACTTAGATCATTAGTGAACGCTCCATATGAGAATATCACCTATAGTGCGTTTTGAAATCAGCAACCTACAGGCGTCTATTTGTTGATTATGCGAAGGTTAAATTCCGCTAAAATTGAGACAATACCCCGACATTAAGACGCGGTCTAGTACAGATGATTCGTACCTGATACACTGATTGTTTACAGGTGTTTGTGACTATTTTTGCATTCTGATCAGTATACTCTGACTCTATCCTTACAGAGTGAGCAAAGAGGCAAGACAAATGGCATAAATACTTGACTCCAGTGCAATGTTTCACCTACGGGAAGAGATTACGATCACTGAGAAAATAGCATGCGGTGATCACACCAACAACTTTTGACCCCGGAGGATGTGCGTTCCAATCCTAGCACCAACGTCTGGATTTCCTCATTAATTGTTGTCTGGCAGCCCTTTGATTGGCCGCTTTTTATTGTATTACAATATTGCATCTGAAAGATATCGATGCCTCTTTCCAGTTCCTTAAATGTACTGGAATTCACAGAGGCAATGGCACTCTTCAGTGAGCGCACGAAGTTTTCAGCTGCACCAACCAGCTCATACCATATCTGAGCTGAATTGTCATTTCATATTTATTCAGGTGTCGTCTTCAGTGATAATCAGTCAGATCACTGTAGACCCGATAGAAACGAAGAAAGACACAGTTGACTGCCTATTAACTCCCATCAATTCAGTACTTCCATGTAGGTTACGGGCTGACGTGCCCCAACCCTACAAGATTGAAGTAATAATACAGCTACTCGTGAGTAGTGCAACGTAGGATAATTTATATTGATTGATTTGAAGTGACCGTTTTCTGCTTTTAGAAATGTTCTTGCATCTGTTCATGCATTAGGTTAGAACTTCAATAATCAGTAGCATTGTGTTAGTGATAAACCCCTCCCAGCCTTTTAATTTCCGAGGTTTCCTTTTTGGAGGATTTGTTTTGTTTTTTCTTTTCAATGTGGGCTCGACTTATACTATACTGGAATGGTTTGCTGATGGCTTCCCAGTTGGCATTACCCTTTGGGGTTAGGCCAGTTTGATTCACCAAAAATAATCTATTGATTTTTTAGGATGAATTCCTCACACATTTGCTTGACCACACACACAAACACACACACTACCAAAGCCAAAGCATACTGATTAGTTATTCAAGTCGCTTTTTGTGACCAGTGATCAGTGCAGTAGGAGTAGTCGGAAAAGCTGTGAATAAGTCTGTTGGTGTATCATTAATATACCACGAGGTGTAGGTGATAATTACCCAGCAGAAAAGTGTGTATTGTTAACTACCGAGGACTTGGTGATACCACTTGTATTTCACACACCCCAGCTGGACATCTACCACAATGTACTCACCAAATCCAGGTCACGCTTGGCTGTCAACATCTCTGCGTAGAGTGCCTCCCGTGTGTTGGGCAACGGGATTTGGAATCGCCCACCCACTTCACTCAAGTGTCGTTGTACTTGTTCCGTTAGTCTGCGGTCACGCTCCAAGCTGTTTGTTAGAAGAAAAAAATGGACGGTACAAATGTGCATAGAGTAATTGTGTCTGGTTTGGTCGGAAGGGAAACTGGGGTACCTTTTATTTTATGATATGTGAAACGAGACATTAAAATAAAAGTCATTGTAATAAAGACAGAAAATGACACGACGCACAACACCGCCTGGTGGAGTATTAAACTTCTGAGGTGCAAAAGAAACTAGTAAGATTTATCTTGTGTTTTCTTTTCAAAAGAAAACATTTTTCTTTTCTGTTTACTTATCTTACTTTTGAACAGTTACCCTGGTACAAATGTTGCGGTTGAACATAGAAAATATAGTGCACTTTTTGATTGAGCAGAAACAGATCGCAAAACTCGTTCATTGAGTCAAACTGACTGATTCGTTCTACATGATTTTCCCTAGCCATATTCCAAATGTACTAGAGTTTAGTGAAGTACTGTCAAACCTCCTACCAAAGCTCGCCCGTCTATGCAGGATATCCGGTTGTTCAATCGACCTGGCTGGTCGGTGAGCTGACCTCTTTCTTAAGACATTAACATAGTGACATCTTCTTTCAATGGGACAGACAATGGCACCCTGATCGATGATATTTTCATGCCGGTATAAGTTATCAACGTACCTGTTCGAAATCAAACAGAATATCACAAAATGAGTGCAGCTGTCAACGTGTCATTTGGTGATCTCGTAAACAGGATGGAAGAAAGATTATGCTTTCAAATCCGTGATAATTTATTCTGTTCAAGTGAAGTTCGATGTGGACTCACTGGTTCAAAATAATATAAACGTTTCTGACTCAAGCAACATACTGTAAACATTCTCAAATAGCCTATGTACACTCATATCATAGTATGTGACACTCTATTCTGTACGGCACGGAAGACCATCGACTTTATTCGCCTGGCTTGAAACTAACTTTACTGTGGCTCCGCATGTGTACTCCGCATAGAGTAGCGCGAAGGAATCTGTATTGTTGCATCCGGCTACAGATTCATCGGAAACAACGGGCGAATGCTGCCCAACTTTTAACGTATACAAAATACGTTTAACCTTTAGCTCAAAAAACAAATTAGGCAGAATAAGCAAAATTTGCTTCCGCATGCTCGGAATGTACAGCTTATAAATCTACGAATTAAAATTTCAACCCACTGCACGCACACCGGTAGCCCACGTGGTTGACCATTTGAAACAGCTAGCATATGATTGTCCAGCGTTCTCCGGTATGCATTCGATAAACAACTGAACACAAATAAGACAGTTTATATATTTATAAATATATATACATCCGGCTTGCGAAAAAAGCGTTGTGCCATCGAAACCACAAAAATAGCAGATAATGAAGCGGTTGGAACACAAAATATTGAGATGGGTGTCAAAGACTTATAGGTCATCACAAAAGTAGCATTCATTTGTTTGTCTCACCGTCCACTTTTGGAAATATTTCGTGATAGTTTATTGCTTTTCTCTTTGAGGCACGGAATTTCAACAGGCTAAACACACGGGTCTAATTTGGGGTAAAACTTGCGTGTGATTGCACATAACAAAGTTCTTTTTTTCTCTATTTAGTAAAAGCATTTGAAAGGAACACAATAAATTTGATCACCAAAAGTATTCAGTTGGATCTTGTCAGTTTTACTGTCCATGATAGGTTTATGTGCCTGTTCTAAAATTTATATTTAATACAATCTCATTCACCACGATTGGTGAATGAACTCATTTGAAGTCGTATCGGTTACTCATTTCATGTATCGTTTATTTACTTTGCCTAGGTAATTTATTGTCACGTGCTGTGACAACCGCAAATCCAATCAATACGGCTACGCATTTTTTTCATGCACTCATCTGAAATTTCACGCTATTACGGTCCGTATAAGGAATAATGTTACGAGCTGTCCATTTACTGTGACACATGCTAGAGCATGTGAATTTTCCAGGTGCCCGGAGCATAGTGATGTGGGATATGATCTGTCTGGTTTATTCATTAACCGTACACTCTCACCGCCCCTCCCCCTCGCGGCCCGGTTGCATCACTATCTGTGTGTGTGTCTGACTGTTTGGAACGGGATTGCAATTCTCTGCGACCAGGAAATTTTCAATTTCAGCAGTTCTCTTGTCCAATTTGGTTCACAGTGTGGTGAGATGGTCCCGTCAGGGATGAGGAATTCTGTTCCGTGGACGGAAAACGCCTAATTAGTGTCGCCTTTTTGTGCCCAGAGAAAGGTGGGAATAGTATGTTACTTCTTTTAACAGCGGAGCATTTGTCTTGCCCGCGTCCACCTCTCCGAGAAACCCTGAGGCGACATCGACAGTCTGAATTTGTCTATAGAACTGAGTGAGCTAACAACATTTGGCATACTGTCATCAATTATAATGTTACATCATCAAATCGACATGAGTGATTCCAACTTTCCGTGGAGTACATTTATGGGGGTTCTGTCTAGTTGATTTATTTTTATTTCAAATGAACTTATCAAGAGTGGTGTAAACAAATGCATTTGCTATAGAAACTAACATTAAGAATGTTAACCATAAGACAGATAACTATTTTTTTAGCAGCATTCTTGTACAGTCAATTACAAATCGCCGGATACATTGGTTGTTTTGTTCCCCAATGCCCGTTGACAGATTTCCCTCTCTCTCCCTCACTCGCTTGCTGTCTGGTAATTCGAAGGATAATCAGTTACGTATTAGTTACTAGAAACCGCAGGATACTTTATTCTTTGTATACAAATAACTATTGAGAAAGTTCAGTACTAAGAACCCGTGTATGATCGACTAATACACTGTCTGATAAAGTTCGCGATTTGCAACGACATTGATCAGCATGTGAACAATACTAAAAGCAGGGGTCATCTGTATTCTTCCACGATATGCTCACTCGAGCGATCAGATGAAATGTCTCGTAGTCTGGGCAAAGGTCTTAATCAATTCTTCAAGCACGGGAACAGCACTGATTGGAGGTCCTTTATCCATACAGGTACTGTAATGTTTCAGAAATTAAGTAACCACTTTTTAAAACACACTGCATGAAACATGAACATAAACGCATTGTTTTCAATGTTTATAATTTTACCTGCATTGATCTATTACATTCATCCATATTTCTCGTTTCATTTCGGTTCGATGGGCTTATTTAGTAGAATAAAAACAAGATAAATCGATTTGTTTTTTCTCAGTGAGCATAACTTCTTTCCGGAACACCCGTTTTGAGGTCTCGACAAACGCAGTGATGCAGCTGCGCAACACTGTTTGATGAATATAGCTGCCTGAGTTCAGTTCCGATTTGATGACAGCCACCTGTATATTCAGTCGCTCTAATCCCATGATTATCGATTATCGCATTCAACTATTTAGAGGGCTACAGGTACATATATGCACATACCCTCCATCTTTGTTGTCAAGTATCAATCGCTGTAAAACAAAAGAAAAGACCGTCATATAACTGTAATTAGAACAAAGTTTTCCTTATGATACACTCTTACATTGTTGATGGAAGAGGAGCTGTTGCATTTGGTAAGCCAATGCAATATATCATTTTCAAATCCATTTTTAACAGTCTGGTTTACTTCCATTCACTTGTTAGCTACGTCAGTTCTGGAAATAAAGAAATTATTCATATATTTTCCTTCCTCTATTGCTTCTCGTGAGTTCGTTGCTCGTGGAATCTCTATAATCCAAGAGTCGATNAGAGTCGATGGTAAACAAACCAGTTGGTTGTTCCTAACCAACATTTTGGTTTATTTCTTTGGGACAGATTATTCAGTGTTCGGATTGCAATCGGTGTAAAAGTTGATCTCCCACTAAAGTGTACAGTTTTCTGCGTCTCACTGACATTATTCTGTCTCGGCTGTAATGCTTTGCTATTAAACAAATATCGCCCAAGTCCGACTGATCAACTGGAACAACGATAAAAATCATCCTAGGTGGCCGGAGTAATGCGAATTCATTGGGGGACAGTGCGTGACAAACGTAAATTGACTTTGGGCTCTCGCGCACCCCCCCATCCCCCACCACATCCCTTGCTTCGACCTCCTCCAACTCCTCCAACTGCAACAACGATAAAACGTGACAGGGAGGGCATTTTCTCTTCCCTCCTCGGGGGGGGGGGGGGGGGGNNNNTGTGTGATGCGCAAAGTGATCGCCTCTGGATTTGAACTGGGAACCATAAACTCTTGCTTTTCCCAGTGCGTTCCATTGTTTATAACCTTGGTCAGGCGCGCGTGTGATTAAAATGGCATAGGCAAGTCTTCCTGGGCGGCAATTTAAAGGTTGTTCATTATTTTTGTACTCTATAATATGGCATTAGAATGGTCACTCATGGTAGAGGTTTCTTCTTGTAAGCCACACAGGTGTTCAGGAAGAGATGGATTTGTCCTGCTCAATTTCTATTTCACTTACTTTTCCACCCGATTTTAGATCTTTTGGAAGGTAGCAGGCTGATCGGCAATTTATGGTAAAGTTTTATCTCGTCCGCCTGAAATAACTACGTCATTCGGAAGCCCATGAATTAGTTGGAGTGAAATTTCATCCTTGAAAACTTTTGCTCGAAGTGAACGGTACAAAAACGTTTGTTGAGTTATTGCACACCCAGTGGACCAACATAGTGAATACAAATGCAAACATTATTTTTCAACCCAATTAGGATAAATAATCTTTTTGAAGTTCAATTGGAATAAACCACATTTGGATTCCATGAAATTAATGGAAGTTTTGATTTGTTTCCATGATCTATGCTTCGTGTAAATGGAACGTGAGCTGGAANGACAGCTGTTTCGACCTGAGTGGGTCTCATTCGCAGTAGGAATCCATCGACTCAGCTGGATGCCAGTGTTGAGATGAGCGAAGACCGACACTCACAACAAGTTCACATAACTGGGTTGTGCTATATCGTGTATAGTTCAAATGAAAAACGCTCTGTTCATCTGCCCGGTAACCGAGTGAGTAGTATGCTTGCGTTGTACCCATGAGGTCCCGGGTTTGATCCCGAGTTCTGTCGATGGATTCGCACTGTGGGTGAGATCCGATCAGATCGAAACAGCTGTCCAGTGCTCTCCAGCTCATGCCGTAATTACACAACAAATTGATCACATTCGGATTAGCTAAAACCAATTGTGAGGTTTTTGAAATTATCGTAAACAAGCGGTTGAGGAGTGTCCCTTCGATGTGAACTTAATACATAATGGGTTATTACAACATCGCAATCTTGCTGAAGAATGATCATGGGCATGGAATCATCTAGTGCTTTTCCAAGCCATAATTGACAATAAATGTTCCAACAAACTGCATGAAAGATACGAGAGGATTTCGGTTGAATAATTCAAAAGCCCCTAATCACCAAAGAGATTATTAAAGGCGCTTTGCCAATGATGGATTTCCACACATCTTCCGGCATGGAAACAACAATAGGGGATCTTTGTTTGTACCTGGCCAACTCCAGTTCCAATATCACATGAGGATCCAGATTTGGTGGGGGTGACGCGGAACGAATACAGCGATTTCGCAGTTCTTGCAACTCAGCCGTACCGATCATTTTCAAATCTTCCGGAACCACATCGAACGGGGCTGCAGTGGCTCGCCGATCCGCTTCTGAATAAAACAGTGCATCAAAATGTGGTGGTAAATTGGAACGTTTCCAATGTGGTGTGAAGCTAAGTAACAGTTTTCTAATAAGAGCACTCTTCATTGGGCAATTATATGAACCAAACAAGTTGGATGTAATACCCGCTTCCGTTATCACACAGTGTTAATTAAATGAATAGTTAATTTGAAATGAAACAAAACAGTTTGACACGGTCCTCTGGCATTAGTTTTCATGCTCCTTGAGATAGTCGCTCACGCACTAGACCAGTTAGATAAATTGCGATTATCAAATCCAGAAATTCATTGTTTTATAGCTAACAAAAAAAACTAACTTTACCAACATTTTATTAAAACTATTTTTTATATCTGACTATTTCTATTGGTGAATGGAGCAGAAAAGAAAAGGTGAATTTACCTTGAACCGAGAAAAGACAGAAATCACATCCGATCTATCACTTCTTTTGGGAATTGACTCATTAATGAGTTCGTAAAATCATGCAATCCGGAAAATCGATATCATTGTTTGCTCCCAATCAGAAGAGGTGCGACTTAAAGATTACGGTGAAATATTGGAAGGGAACATATATGAAACGGGGCATGATTATTTGACTAAGCTAAACGTACAAGAACAAACTATGATCTTGTTCTATTCACAATGCTATTATCGGTACAAACGCATTTGGATGGAGATTATAAGATTTTTGAACATTTTTAAAATGCTCCAAATCTCATTTAAATCACAATTTTAGTTAAAAAAGCGTTTTCAATGAATACTTACTTTACTTGCCCCAGTATCAGTTTGAACAATCATTGACTATGCACTTTAGCGGGCTGGTTTTTGGTTACCTTGTCTTTTGGCTGCGCGTTTGAATGAAAGTAGATTTGAAGAGAAAATTGAGAACTCCGGTAAACTATGACTGCCAGAAAACTGAGAAGATACACGAACGCCATTGTTTACGACACTCGGCCAGGTCGCTTAGTGTCTCTAGTCACCTGTTACGATTATCCCGACATCCCCAGCCAGGGAGCCTAACGGGACCTATGTGGCCAAGTCTTTTGGTTAGGGTTTTCGTATCCTCTTGCCCATTCTTGGTTTGCCCACCCGTGGGTTTATTCCAACCACTACCTGCCTCGGCGAACATCGCGCGCCGTGGCAACCTATTTGGTGACATCCGTAACACACATGCCCCAAACAATGTAATCTATGAAGTTTGACAACTTGCTCTAATGGGCGACCGCGGTTGCCTAAAACTGTGCGCCTGACCTCAGTATTACTGGACCGGCTGTCCATTCAGATTCGTGCAATGCTGTGAAAGCAGCGATGTTTAAGCAAAGAAAGTCTATCTTTATCCTGTTTTCTTACTGGCCAAGTTTCTGTGCCGCATATCGGAACCGGTCGAACTGCCGTGGCATACACTCAACCCGTCACGCACCGCCGGAAGTCGTAACGGAGACACAGATGTCTCGGGTTGGTAAATGCCAACCGAGCCTTCTGACACTTGATCACTTGATGCGTCCACCGGGTGAGATACAGCTGCCCGAATAACAAAACTTATCCACTTGCTCCATTATTTCCTCAGTGAGAGTGAGACTGGGTGCTAGACCAATCCAGTCTTGTAGTAACATTTTACACTTTGAAGGTGCAAAACCCATGCCAAACATAGCTGTGCTGATACTCAAGCTATCCAGAAAAGCTTACAAATTACCTGGATCTTCAATTAGTAGCAGTGTCCTCAGCATACTCTGGATCAGATATTCCACTATCTGGGAGCAAATCAATGTCATTATCATATAATCAGATACATTAATAGATATATAGATAAATGGATAGATAGATAGATAGATAGATAGATAGATAGATAGATAGATAGATAGATGTAGACACGGATAGATAGATAGATAGATAGATAGATAGATAGATAGATAGATAGATAGATAAAGACACGGATAGATAGATAGATAGATAGATAGATAGATAGATAGATAGATAGATAGATAGGGAAAGATAGATCAGGCGTCTAGGTCGTCACATGCCAAGAGGACATCGATATGTTTGATTAAAGTCCCATAAATAATGAACACAAATCACATAACGGTAATGTAATCTGTATGATTAAAATGTGCATATTATCAGTCACGCGGAAACACCCCTCACCTTCTCGAATGTCCCGTTGTGTCTTGCTTAGATACTCCAAAAGTTTCGCCTTTTGCTGTATTGTATAAGCCTGTCGCCATCCTCTCACTCGTTCTGCATCTCTACGATGAAATAAATCCAACGAAAATTGTAACAGTTAAGGATGCAGATAAAAGTTATCTGTAATAATTTTCGTCCAAGTCATCTGCACATGAATAGCAACCTATCTAACATATCTTTTTCCAGGCCAGAAAACATTTTTCTTCAAACAGATGTCACTGGTCACCTTTCAACCTATCACCTACCCACTACACGATGTTTTTTCTATCTCCTCAGACTTGTAGTTACATTCCCTGATCGTATGATGTGGTTTCCGAAATCCCAGTGATGTGGAAAATTCAACAACAGCAAATGTATTTCGTTCTTGCTGGGAACTAGTAAGCAACAACTTGTTTACCCGTTCCTCACGAAACTCATTCATCTACACATTGCAAGCTGAAAAATATCTTTCCTGTGCTTCCATGCATTAAAACAGAAAAAGTATGTGTAATGTGGCATACTCACTCGGACTTATTTATTGCTGAGGAATTAATTGCGAGCCAATATACTTGCAGAACAGAACAAGCTCTCGATCCTTCGGTTATCTGTACCAGCTATTTCTGACCAAATGGAAGTTTTGACTTATTTATTTTCTACTGTCGTGCTACAATAAGAGATTTATAAAGTCGGATTTTGGTGTTTAATGGTAAACAATATCGTACGTTTTATCCGACATGAGTTCATTGGTAGGGATCCGTGATCAAAGATCTTGGAAATATCGAATTTAGACCTACTTTAGTTTCTGCAATGTGGCCTGTTGTGTGATCATTGCTTGTTGTCTGGCTTTCTTTTTCCGCTCCCGTACATGTTGCGCTCGGATTTTGTCAATGGTCGGTTGTGGAGGAATGTCCGGTAGTAGTGCATCATGTCGAGTAGATTGTGACGGGAAGAGGGCAAACGCGGACGCGCTGATATGCGGGGTAGATTTTTGTGTTAAAGAGAATTTTAAGTTGCATTGTTAGTTATTAGAGAAATTTTGGGAACTCATAGATCGGGATTTGAAATAATCAAGTTACTAATATGATCGCAGAATACCAGAGTTTTACGAACATCTCAAGGAGTTATTTTTCTTTTTAATTGACCAGATCGACAGAGCAGGTAATCAAAAAACCCCGTCTACTGAGCCAAACAGTCACTAGAAAATGTTACTTACTGAGACTTGATTATGCCAACCCATGCCATCCGACATTATTATCGATCGAAAATCAAACTACAGTGAAACCAATGGAAGGGATTTAGCTTAAATCCATTCTTCATTCAAATTTTGACATGCTTAGGGGCCGTATAATCCAATAGAGGGAATGCCTTCCGCTACTAGATCCCGGACTGAAAATCGAGCAAGTTGCAATAGTTTGCGTTAAGTCCTACAATAAGGGATTTTCAGCCAACTTCTTACTTTGGGTTCCAGAAATTATTAGATATGAATCCTTTCCGGTACCTAATGCACTATATATAAGCTATTTATGCACTTCACTTACCGGTACACTTCATCTAGTTACAATCTACAAATCACCTGCATATAGCGGATAAAAATATATCAGTTTAGAAGAAAACTCATTGAAGAAAAGATAATAAAAAAATGCACAAAAAAAACAATCCGTTGTGGTGAAGTAATTGAAAAATCTTCAATAATCTTGTGGTTACTTTTTGTTTATCTTTGAGATTAAATCCTAAACAATTGCGTTTTAATTTTGTATTTGGAAAACAAAGAACTGCGAGAACATAGTAGATCAATTATTTAATCTTTGGTGTGAATAAGGCATTGCGTTAAATGAACAGCATAACCTGCAACGAATACGATTTTAGTCAATGATGAATTTGACAGAGTCAAACCCGAGGGCTTTTCTTCATGAAAAGGAGACACCTGAGAAATGACCTCAGTGAGACCGTCAAAATAATGAAGGGAATGGCAGGGATAGTGGCGGACAGCGTGTTCACCGGAGGACCGCCAGAGTCAATGAGAGGGCACCATTTGAAGCTAATAAAGTCCAGGAGTCCGCTCAACCTTAGATAGAACTTTTTCGCGAGTAGAGTGATAGATGAGTGGGATCAACTACCTTCTCTACCGTTGGACTGTAGGGCAGTTATTAAGTTCAAAAAGCAACTAAACGCGGTTTGGATTAGTCTCTATACAGAGATTTTGTAGGTTGCCTACTGTTGACATTAGGTGTTTCATACTTACCATTTTCGAATAACCTCCTTTTATAGATAAGGACTCGAAAAGGTAAGCTTTTCTGGACGAAGAAATTGACAGTGGTCAAACAGTTTACAATGAGTCCAAGCTCAAGAGGAACCTTGGTTCTAGCTGGAGCAATAATCTAGATGCTCGGTTGGCGAAGGCCTCTACCGTGCTGTGCAACCTGATTAAACCTGATCTGAAATAATAATGAACCCCATTTTTATTCAGTACAGGGCCGAATCAACGAATAAAAATTCCTAGATCATAGATCTTATCACTGCCCAATATTTGCTCCTCCAGTTGCAGCTAAGCAATAAAAGTATGTAGCAGAAAAATTATACTTAGTACGTCCACGACATTGGTTATTTCGAAGTAGGACTTTCGCGCGGCGTTGGACTCCATCGATAGGACCACACTATGGAACTAATTGTTAAGGAATGGAGTACCTGAGAAGTATACGTCTATCCTCAAATAGTTGTATCGCCGGACCTCAGGTCTACTTGGGGGTGACTGCCAGCTTTCGCCACACTATGCAGTCTCCAATTAAGTTCGACAAGGTTGCTCAATATCCCGATTCCTCTTCAGTTTTGGCAAAGATTATGTTCTACAGAATGCTTAGTCCGGTATGACAAATGGTTGAGCTAAACAGAGCTCTTGACTTAGAATATACCGATGACATGGTATACTAGGTGGCAATATACTAGCAGTCTAATACTCTTTAACTAGCTTTCACGATCGAGGTATCCAGAAATGTAATGAGCTGTGCGCCATCCAAGTGCAAGAATGGCAGGAGCTTCTGCTACACTCATCCTCCGTAGTGATCATTTGAAAGTAGTTGAGTGCATTAACTACCTAGGGATCTTGATAACAGCTGAAGGTAGTTGTAGGGAAAGGATTGCATGACGAACAGAAAAGCTTCTACTAAATGGAGACACCTGTAGGCCCGCCATGACATCTGACTGTGCCTAAAGTGAAGGGTGTATATCGCCACGGCTCCTGGTGTCCTACTTTATGGTTTGGAGATGCTAGTCTGCTTTCGGTATTCGACCACAAATATCTCTGAAGCAGCTTTTATGTCCGGTGGGATTATCGAGGTGGTAGTTCCTTGTAGTCTTGAGTACAGATAGTTATTCTCTAAAAGAGGTAGTTTCCCCACACACATCCTGTGGTTTGGCCCCATTTGTATATTCCTGCCAATCGACAACCTTTCCGTGCTCGTTTTGCACCTAACGGGGAATACTGGAAGAAGCTCCGCGGTGGTCGGACCATGAAATGGCGTAGAGGTATAAAGAAGCCAGCTTCGGCTTTGTCTTCGGTTGGTAAAGCTTGATTTCCAGGTTGGGATGAGGGTTGTCGTTGGTCAAAAAATATACGGTGAAACAAATCACTATTCGGATTAGCCTGATCCACTATAACTGTACGACCTCTATTTCACTCTGTTTTTATCTCCATTCCCATCTCAGTCGTCAGAAGGTCATTAATATATATTTTTTAAAATATGTAGTATATGAATGACTGGTTACGTTGTTGTTGCAGAGGCTTCTGCGTTCCAATTCAGTTTCTCCCGTTGTACATTGCTTTGATGCACCTCACACTTTAATACTTCTATCAGGTGTTACGTGGGGCTTCATCTGCTGTTCTTTCCTTTCTTGATTCTGTTCAAAGAAATTCTATACAGTTGATTTATCTCTCAATTTCAACTTGTAGTCAATAAACCATGATCGGTAGTTGCTTCACTCTCCTACTTCTTCGTTGACTATCTCGGTTTTTGTTCTTCAGAGGTTTCCTCATCAGTTCCTTTACTTGTAGCTTTTGATCATCTATCCCGTTGCCTTAGCAACTAGTCATTCTTATTAGATTTTGGTCACCAAATGTCATACTTCTCTCTTTTGTTCTTCTCTTTTTCCCCGACACGCCCTTTTATGAAATACTCCCGTTATCTATCGTTCTATTGACACGTAATCGTTCACTGTTAAACGCGTAATCAATAAACTAGATCGTAAATCAATTTATTCTCTTTTTTTTTGTTTAACAGGGTCTCTTTACTATGTTTTTTTTTCTCAGTTGAACTGTATTTCAATGTGTGTCAGAAAAAAAAATAACTGAAGTAAAGTGAAATGAAAAAAAAATAAAAACACTTTTCTGTGCATCAGTTCGGTTGAGTTTTTACAACCTTTAACCATGTACATTCGTGCGCCGATTTTTTGGTCGCTATCTTTTGTTGCCACATTTCCATAAAAAAGCAGGGTGAAGATTGGACTGTTGAAATCAAATTCAAATGAAAGACGGAGAATTCATATAAGCTGCTTCTAAGATAATAGTGAGTAGATGCATGGGCGCCACTGTTTGCTACACTCAGCCATATCGCTCAGTGTCGCTAATCATCGGTGACCATCATCTCAGGGTCCCCAGCCAGGGAAACCAACAGGCCTATGTGACCTGGTTAGGATTTGCATACCCTCATGCCAGGTCTTCATTTGATGACCCTTTACCTTCTTCTGTTCATAACTCCCTAGTAATATTGATACATAAATATATTAGTTCACAGATATCAGTATCCCGAGGGACGTGCATTGTTCTTCCGTAAAAGTGTTAAATCAGTCGAAATTCAAATGGGTCACTTTGCTTCTTTCTCTCTCTCTATCTCTCTCTTAGTTGTGCACTCATCATTGTGTTTTATTCAAGAAGTTAGATATCATGTGACTCTATTCCACTCCGTTTCATTCTGTGTGACGATAACTCGTAAAACATTTTTCATATCAAAAAGAAATATCAAAATAACTATTATCTGACTGTCCAAAATTGTGTAACAAATTTTCTCCCCCCTAAACTACTATTGTTGGTACAACCAGCCTGTTTCAGAGTTGTTCTCAGATAATGAAACCGCGTCAACCAATCAAAACTACTGTCAATGTATATGCACTACTGATGGGTTTTAAAAAGAGCGAAACTCAAATCTTAAGCTTCTCGAGTATACATATATATATATATATATCGCTGAACGAAATACTGAGTTTGTGCGAAAGTAATCCAACTCATTATTAATTAGCCTACATGACTAAACACAATTTACTATGAAAGACAACGAATAAATGAATAAATAAATAGATGTTACCTGATTAACTTTCGTGGATTTCTTCGTCCAAATAAATATTGTTTCTTTATCTTTCTATACAACTTCGAACTAGAGGCGGTCCATGGGAGCGTGTTTTCTCTGGTAGGTTGTGACGGGGCACTGTTTGTCCGACATACCTCATTTGTATTCAGCTCCTCATTCACCGCTTCCGTCAACCGAGAAAAATGCAGAATGTCCTCAAGTTCTTGATCACTTGAACCGCTTTTTGTGTCCAACCGGCTTACGGATAACTTTTCCTCACGTTTCAACGTATCGTTAGATTCTTCCGTGAAAACGGACGATGTGGATTCTTCTCGGCCACTGTTATCCATCTCTTGTATGGATAATACTTTCTCTGAACCAAAACCCTCGTCGGAATTCGATAGGGACGCCTTTCGTTCTAATTGATCGCATAATTCTTTCATATTTTCTTCTGTGATTTCAAAACGGTCAGTCTCTGAATCTCCTTTATTTTTTGGATTAAGTTGGATGGTTTCTGCGGAATTGTTTTTCTCCAACATTCCCATAGTCTGATCAGTTCCCATCCGCCGATGTGGACGTGAATCTGTGTGTGTGTGTGTGTGTGTGTGTGTGTGTGTGTGTGTGAAAGAAGAAGAATAAGGCCAGTCTGTCAGCCGTTTATCATTACTGATTCGTGAAACATACTACATACCACTGGGGCCAGTAGTATTCCAATCTCTGAGCACAAAACACAAAGATAGTTTCAAACAAATCTGATATCTTATCTGGTGACGATTACAGACCTGAGAGGGGAAGAGCTGGGCTAGTAGCATATGGCATACGGTTTCAGACACCCATTACCTTTTGAGAGTCAAGTATCATGAAACGTGGTCTGAACTGACCGACCATCCTTAGGATTTCACCAAGTCTACTTTTGATTAACAAAGTAATCATATTCATCAAATTACACAGTTATGGATCTGAATTGACTTTCCTTCGAACTCCACATTCTCGCACAATCCTCATTTCATCCAGTCCACCATAGACTTGGAAACATCAGATTCAGGTTTCACTCTTGTTCGGGCTCACCAGTAGTGCATGTGGACCTTGAACTCCGGACCAATCACATGGAAGGTACATGTGTTACCACCGGTCCAACCACCTCATACGAGGGTTCAACCAAAATGCCAGTTCGCTTTTTTTCCAGATGTTTGCTCCAGTGATTATCAGTCAGTTGAACAATATTAATTTTTACAAACCACTACTCATAAGTAACCGGAAATTAAAAGTAATTATTGTCAAACGTTTCCACTATACCTTTAGATATCCGTCGCAATCAAGTAATTGAGGATTAGAGGCGAGGTTTAAATAGGAGTAAGGCACTTTGTACCTATTCGCATTCAAGCTTACTTCCCTCACATTTTGGCTAGATTCGTTTTGCGGTAGAATAAGCTGCCCTGCAAATCTGTTCGACGGTGAATAAATATAATGCGTCGTTTTTACGCAGACTGGTGTATTTTCCTGTCCAGTATCAAATTCTTGCAATTTTTTAAAGGCTGTGCGGACAAACTGATTCGAATTCGTTACATTGTTGCTTAAAAAACATTGATTGACTATACTGCACTACCTACAGCATAGCCACAAACTCCATAGGGTCATCACCGCAGACTGCTGTTTTAATTAATAGATCAACGCGAGCCACGAAACTTAAACAAAATCCAATTTGCGAAGTATTCATGAACAGAGTTTGTACATGATCTGAAGCCTGTTCAAACTATGGATTCTCTTCATTATCATCAAGGAGAAATGTGTCTATTTCACGGGTTCTTTTGACCAGAAGGGACGCTCTGAGTGTTTACGGTTAGCAAAGCCGACTCATCAAATCGTCGTGAAATTACTAGAAAATATCTGGGGAAAAGTGGTTCACAAGGTTTGCTGAACACATAATTCTACCTCACTCAGATGCAGTCCCTCAACGATCTTAGTAGTCATACACGGAAATGAACTGAAACTTAGCATGAAGATAGTTGTTCCGAGTATTCCAAAATGAATTCGATGCTGCCACTTTGGCGACAGTGCCATGTTTGGCCTGAGCGAAAATTCAAACGCAACCGATTCGAAATAGCCCGCGTGTGAACTGTTTTCAAAGTTATCCGGTCTACTAGATTTGACTCTAAACGGAAAATAAGTTGCTTGAGTTCACATTAAAATCTGCGCCACAGGTCTAGTGGAAACCCATTCGATCAAAGAACAAATATCTTTTGTTCAAATGATTATTTGGGGGATTGAAGTTTTATGTTGGGGTTTTGAAAAGTTCTGTAGCTTGGGTGGTGATTCGAATCCACGCATGGACGCCGCTTCGCTTTTGTGCATTTCACGCTCTACCAACTGATCTACGAGGCCACACCGACATCAATGATCTTTTCACATTGGAATTACCCATCCAACTTACAGAGGTATATGACATCCACCGGTTAGCAGGTAAGCTACTTCCCACTGTTAGTTTGAACGAAAAGCTAGAATGGGTTTTAATATATGTAAAACGGGAGTTAGGTGTGGGCACTTCAGACACATGGCCACGGAAGGGTAAAGGATTGACCGAATTGATTAGTTGCTCATAGTGAGGTTCTTCTAATCTAATCACCATCGCTTTAAATTATATAGTGTGTTGTAATTGTTCAGTAGGTAAAGTACTAAAAATAAACTTGTTTGTCACATTTCTTTTATTCCGATAAGTCTCTCGGAATTAGTTACTGGCTTAAAATGAGTACAATTTTAAAGATACTGATACTTGGTGATTATATACATAACCTGTGTAAAACAATAAAATGCACGAGCGTCTTTGTTTAGAAAAGTCATGCATATCAGTCAGCACCTCTTGTGAGGTTTTCGGTTGATCATGCTGAGCACGTTTTTTCATGATTTAACATCAAATCATTCCCGGACTGTTATTAAATCCTCACTTAACATTCGCACCTACAAAAAGCACAAAACTCAGTCGGGAGTGGGTGTCTAGGGTTGTGGCTGGTCATCCTTCCCTTACACCTCCTGAAATGCTCTCACACAGCCAAGCGTCTTCAATAGCCTCTGCTGAGGAATTTCTACTCACTGTCTTCTTGTGGCGGTGTTTCCCACCAAAGTGGGAGGACGAACAGCCGATATCCGGGTTATAAACGGGTTGATGAACCACCCAGGGGAGTTAGCCAAAAACCCTGATTCCAAACCAACCAAGAGGAGGCGTACAACCCACACCCACACCTTTCCAGTTGAGGCAATGGTCACCGGCTCAATTGGGCACCGAGGTGTATTGTGCACCTTGGACGTTTGACCCCGTCCAAGGGTGTATGATCCGATGAACTGGACACCGGCTCCCAATGGACTGCGGTTTGCACACACCGCCCCGCTTGCCTTGCGGGTCAAGCTTTGGTTAGCCGAAGGTTGTGAATTCCCTAAGAAAATTCACCTGCCTTGGCCCGGGCAACCTGGTAGGTCACATTCAATTAGTGAAGCGTTTTTCTTTTTATAAAGATTATAATACCGCGATTTGTTTGGCACACAGTCTGAACTCAGACGTGTGTGAAGTATTTATATGTATAAATATATATACATATATATATCACAGTCATTGCCTACTACTCTCATTTCGACATGACCTGTGCGGTTGTATGGACGTAGATGTACAATGTCTCCTACGCGGTGGTGTTTGAATACGGACAGTTTGTGTAAAAGTTCTATACCCGGCTATAATATTTTGCCACATGGCGGTTATAACTGATCTTTCACGTATTCAAGGTTCAACCGCGCCCGGATAAATAGTTCCCTTGATCATATCACATTCCAGTTGCTTCGGAGTACATAAAACCGTGAGTAGCAAGCAGAAGGAACATCTGGCAGACTACTGTTTTATGGATCAAATCTGAAACGTAATATGACGTTGTATTCGTCAATTCAAAAAGGGTAACAAACACTTCGTTTTCTGCTGAATCTCTCCATTTCGTTTAAATAGGCAAGGTTTACACACTGCAATCTGATTGACCTTGTCAGTTTATTTGTCTGAATGTGTTCTAACTTTATTGTCGGGCACCGTGTCACCAGACAATTGAAAAAGGGTGGGAGTTGAAAACTCGGTAAAGCTACTAAACATTTCCATATGATAAGCTTCGGTTTCAACTTGTTCGGTGGCTTTGGGTGCTGCTTTCTACCTTCTCATTTAGATGATGGAGTGGAAGAGATTAGAATAGATTAGAAACAATGCATATGCAAAATAAATAGCTCAACCAAACTGAGGATTCAAAGAAATTAAGACACACCAGCGCCACTGTTTACGATACTCAGACCTATCCATTGATGTTTTTAACCACCGAGGACGCCGATCCCCATTGGTCCCCGTCCAGGAAGTTTAAGGCGACCCGTGTGAGCAAGTAACCTGGTCAAACTTTTCCTGCCAGATCATCACTTGATTCTTCTTGATCTTTTTTTCTACCCACTAATTGCCTGGTGAAAAATCACGCGCCATGGAACTCCTCTTGGTGGTCTGAGTAACACCCCCAGCAAGCGTAATTAATGAATGTCAAGTACGTACTCCTGTGAGTTCTGCGCATCAGATCAGCGTTGCGTGTTTAGATTCCCCATCCGAATTGAGCAGTGCGTCTTGGACAGTGTATCCTTATTTTGATTAGGCAATGACCGAGTCTCCGCCCCGTGTAGCCTCACTGGCAGAAATGCTGCCTCGTACACTCTACCCTTTAAAGACAGCCGAATGCCGCAACTGCATAAGAGATACCTCAAGTTTGCAAGTCGCATTCAAGCCTTCGGTATGCGTTCAGACACTTCCTCTTTGATGCGTCCATTGGGTGACCTATAGCTGTTTAAGTATGATAAACTTAATTAGAGCTCGAATGATATAGTGATCCATAAAGTTGTAACATGTCTAGGTGAAAAATGAACAAAAACTTTTGAAATTTCGTCATTCCTAAATATCCTAGTCATTTCAAGTAGCTGAGCACTTTGACGATTTCACTGTCCCTCTCAGATAGCAAAACAGTTCAAGTTGTGTATCGAATCAAGTCTTGAGTACCACACGGCTGGTTCATGGCGTTTGTCTGAGACACGAATAGGGCCGTTGATCAAGAGTATCTTAATCCAACGGGCTCTTCACTTGACTGCCTACTTCAGACAGTAGTGAACTATTGCCTGACTGTTAGTCAGCTGAACCATGAGGAGAAGTAATTAAGTCATCTTAGAATTGAGTCGGATCACAGTGGACGAATTCTTTTCGAATCAGCTCAAGACAAGCTACTGAAAGTCCAATTTCGTGACAAGAGAGTTACTTGTGGAGAACTATTTGCAAAACCTTGAATTCTATTATCATTTACACTTTCCTCAGTAAGTGTAATGATGTTTTTAAACATCACTCTACTAGACTGGTCTATATTTCTATATTCTGTCTGGTGTGACGATCAGTGTACAACTTTTTAAATGTAAGCATATTAAGCTTGCATAAGTTATACAAATACAAATAAAAATATGAATAAACCAGTGTTGAAATAGATTGTATAGTCATTCGTATGAAGTGTGATTGAGGCAAGTGTGTATGTAATGTTTTTCTCTACATGTTGGGTGCTACCTTTTACACATTATTCTGATCACATTGCTTAAAAAACCATTTGCCAGGAAACATTTAAAAAGATCTTGACGACTGTGGATTTTACCCAGACAAATTGCATCACTTACGCCGTGGGGATCTGGCATTTTCACGTGATTGATAGCAGTCATACAAGTATTTCAAAACTCCTTTATGTCCTCTCTCCATCACTCGCTTTGCGGGGAATTCCAGAGGATTGTTCCGTATATATATTCCTTTCAGTTTATGTAATAAACCTTTACAAATGTGATCAGTCGTGTACAACGGGAAATTCACGTCAACTTACCCAATTCAAATGGTAAAATACGGATACAATTATCATCAAGCAAAAGTATCTGGAGATCTCGCATGTGTCGAATGGTCCCGGGAAGCCGAGTGAGCAAATTGGAACGCAGATCGAGCCAGGTGAGACTGCACAGTCGAGCGCACAGCTCATCCGGGATTTCCAGCAGCCGATTTCGACACAAATGTAAGCGCTAGAACAAAGCGCACAATAACACTTCGTGATCACTTACTTTTAAATGAGTCAAATCCAACAGATCGCGAGGCACTTCGACCAGCCTTAAATTGCTCAAATCCAATTTTTCCGGTTTTTCATTCTCCACTTTCTTGATTCGTTTGATTGCTTCAAAATAGTCCGGTGATTCCAAATCGGTGGATTGCTCCAGTTCACTTTCTTTTACACTTTCTGTCATTGGGAGTGAGGCTGTTTGATTCACTGGGCACCGCTTCTACATCTCGCACAAACAGCCAATGAGAACGTTTCGGAAGCCGTGGAGTATTTGGAAAGCACTCGTGAGTGGAATGACTACAAATGTCCCAGTAAAAACAAGTTTCTCAGCTTGATAACAGGAGTGTTCCTTTGATAAATCAGTCATTCATACATTTGCTGTTAAATTATTTGAAAGTTATCTAAATACCTGTGGAAAACGGTTTTCTGTCTCTGAGCAATGAGAATTTCAGGCACTCAATCAGGTTATACTAACCGATGTGAGTTTTTCAACCAAAAGAATGACAATTAGGAAAAAATGGACAATTGATGGTTTGTAGTTTTACAAAAGGGAACAAGTCATTACGATACGTGAAAAATACGAGGACTGAGAAAAATGTTTCCCGATGCAGAAAATTGAAAATAATACACCAAAATAAGCATTTCGTTCTCACGAAGTGTTCTCCATCAGTATCCATACGCTCAAACCGTGTGATGCAACTGCTCGACCGTAACGAAGGGGGGTAACCTTTAGACTAGTTCAGTGAAAACTTTTGCTGCAGTTGATATTTGATTCTGTGTAAGTTCTAATCACTGAACAGTTTACAGTTTACGTTTTCCTTGCCCGGTCATCTGCATCTCGTACTCGTCGTGTACTGTTCTCAGCCAAAGTATTACCCACTAATCACGTGATAATCTAAAATATCTCCCCGCTGCACATACTCAAGTTCTTGTGCGTGCATGCTTCGAATGTACATAGATATGAAGTCTGTTTTCTTCATTCCGATCATTCCTCTCATGTGTTTAAACTGACAATTGAACATGCATTCTCATTCAATTTGAGAAATTATGCATTAGACAGTAACTGATCTAACTGTATTGTTTCAGAACACATATAAGACAAATGTCTGGAAATTTTAACATTTCGTTAAATCTTTTCAGTCGCTGACTTAGAACACACAGACACATCTATAGCAAACGGGGTTGTTTAATTATTGTGAGTGAATATGTGCAAGCATACAAAGATCACTAATTGGATTGACTGTATCAAACATATTTATTCTCCAGATTTAGTAAACAAAGACAAGATTTGCCTGAAGTGAACATTGCTAAACAATGGTTTCCGGGAAGGGTTCATAGATCTTCACCCCATAGATCAGTTTCAAAAGATAACCCAACGGAAAACGTTGGCAAAAAGGCCATCTACTTAAAGCTTGCGTTCCAAGGGGATCTTATTTACCATGGCTTTGGTTGGGAACCCTAATAGTTCTTCTGTTTAGTGGCTAGACACCGTGGCGGTACCAGTCCATCAAACTCAAATGCATACAAAATCAACAAATAATTCCATACTGCATCGGCCGTAGCACAGGATAATCAGGACCGCACTACCCATTGCATCGAGCGAAGTGGGTAGTGATAGGTGGACTACTGCTCAGATATTTCAACCTTTAGCTATAGCTGAATGCGCTGCTGCATGGTAGTGTAGATGAACAATGGGATCAGATTAGCCGAGCAGTGCATTCCGCAACGAGGTTTTGGATATGAAGCGGTGGCCAGACCGAGGCTTTGGATATCTGGTCAGTCAGTAGCACTGATAGAGAAAAAGCGGAAATCCCCGACCGTCCGAGATCAAGGCAAGGTTCGGTGGCGTCTGCAACGTCAACTCAAAAAGAGTATCAAGAAAGACCGTGAAAACTGGTGGGCAACAATAGCTAGTGAAATGGAAGTAGCGGCTGTATCAGGGAATAGTCAAAGACTGTTTCGACTTATACGCAATACGGGAGGTCGGTGAACCACAGTTAGTGAAACAATCTGTGACAAAAGTGAACAAGCTGTTCACAATAGGAAACAATGGCTTAACCGGTGGGCGGAGTACTTAAACGAACAATTCAGCTGGCTGGGCGTCAAACAGGTTATCTCCTCCGATGTAGCTGAGACTCCGTGGGCGGTTTAATCAGAATCTCCTACTGCAGCAGAATTTCGTTCTTGCATCGAAGCCCTGATGAAATGAAAAGCAGCAGGACCTGATGAGCTTCCTCCCACTCTTTTCAAGATGGGGGTCGATGACCTCGTAGACTCAATTACTGATATGAAGCGTGACATCTGATCACACGAGGGCGTTCCATCATCCTGGAGCGATTCATTGATTGCTCCAATTTTTAAGAAGGGATATCGCAGAAGTCTGTGAACATACTGAATTCACTCTACTCACATACTTCTGGTAGCGTAAGGGTCTAGGGCTAGCTGAATAGGTCGTTCGCAGCTAGCAGCGGTGTTCGTCAAGGGTGCCCTCTTTCGCCATTCCTGTTCAATTTCGTCATAGAATAAATACTGGAGAACACACCAAGTAGTCTCCAAAATGCAGGTATTGAATGGGCAACTGGAGAAAAGCTGTTCGATTTGGAGTACGCTGACCACATCGTCTGCTTGCTCGAATGTATGAGGGATGCACAAAGAGCACTTGACAGATTAGCAGTTCTGTCGCTCCGTTCGGCATGTGCTTTGCACCATCAAAGTGCAAAATGATGCTACAAGACTGAGTGTCACCGAGTTCTGTTCTGAAACTAGACGGTCTGGAATTAGATGAAGTTGACTGCTTCTCGTACTTGGGTAGCTGCGTGACAAACGACGGTGGTGCATCAAAGGAGATAATCGCCCACATTTACAATGCTCGAACAGCGTAGGCAGGACTGAAACAGCTGTGACGGCCACGCGAAGTTTCATTGAAGTTAAAAAGTCGTGTACACTGCGGCACTGTACGATCAGTTCTGCTTTACGGTTGTGTGACCTTGAATTTGCGGGTAGAAGACATCCATCGCCCTGTAGTTTTCGACGATCGATGCCTACGTAGTCTGGCCCAAGTGGGATGGAGTGAGCCGGTTAGTAACCTCGAAATAAGTCGTCGGGTATTTGGGAATGCATCTAATAAGAATTCGCTATCGCATAGAATTCAGCTCAATCTGCTCCGTTGGTTAGGACACGTGTTGCGTATCTCCATCGGTCGCCTACTGCAGCGCGCCTTATTCGCAGTGGCTGTTGCAGGCTGGAAAAAGCCTCGTGGAAGCAGCAGATGACGTGGAGATGAGGCATGAAGAAATACACAGAGCGATTAGGTAGAGTAGGTGTCTCTCATCTTCCGGGTTGGGGTTCAAAAGACTCCGAAACTGCACGGTTGGAGACACCGAAGGTCATGGCTGCGAACCGACAGCAATGACGATCATGCTGTCACTTCTTATCAGACCAGAATGCTTGAAATAGTATGTGCACAAGTGGACTGTGTACTCTGTTCGTTGACCGTAGAGGTTCACTTTCTTTTCTCGTCCCTAAAAAGAAGCCCAATCCCTGTCCTTATTAAACATTCTCACTTACGTTGTATGCAATATGAGTTTGGCAGCGATCAGTGGAGTTCACTTCACCGTATTATTCTGTACAATGATGGTGATGATGACAATTACAATGAGGTGGATCTATTGTTTGGTCAACTCCGTAGACGGTACAATCCCAGCTGCTGAACTCAGACTCATTGCATCTATTCGTGGAATTGATTTGGGCAAACCTAATTACGGCGGGCAAATTGGTTCCGTTTTACACACTGTGTGCCAATTCACCTGCAGTTCGGGTGACGCTTGCATAGGCAAAACGAACCGCCGGCTCTCACAACGGATAGCAGAACATTGGTTGGAGAAATCGACGACGCAACCGGTAAGTGATGGTCAGTTGATCAAAGGAATTCCAAAGTCATCTGTTTCAAAAATTGTCATGAACCAAAGACACCCAGTTGACCCTAATCCGTCTTGCAAACCACTATTACGTAATCGCATCGTCAAACTTGTGGCAATTAGTGATGTGCTACTTATTCGATTGCAATACCCAAATTTATGCGCAAAAAAGATTTTTGACACAATCCATCCACTTTCCGTGTTCTACCTTCTTACCACTTTGTTTTGTATTCTAATCCACCACCCCCTATTATTTTTATTGTCATTATTGTTGTGGCGTTGGCACCATGCTTGTCTACAAGCCGATGTTAAACATGTATATATATATGAGCTTCTACTTACTTATTATTATTATACTTCACACTTGTCTGAGGCCAGACTGTGTGACAAATAAATCATGGTACAATAATCTTTTATTTGTTTAGTAATCGCTGTATCCTTAGCCATGTTCATCCGCCATCATTGATCAACCTCACGTGCTATATGTGCCTGTTTATTTTAAGTCAGCGATGGAGAAGATTAAATGAAATGTTAAAGTCTTATGACATTTGCCTTCTTTATTCTGTGGATAAAGAGGATTCACTGTTTAAATAATGATATTGTATTTACTACTACCTATATTTTTCCGAAAACTGAATAGAAATAGAAATTGAAATTGATTACACATCTAATTGGTTGTTGATTGTAAATCAAGAGAAGGAGACAGCGTGCTGGCGCGCGTGTCAGCATTTTATTTTTCTCAAAACAGATCCTCAGTAAATAATTTCTCACATGAATTCGCTACACATCTCCAATAAGATTCTAAAAGCCGCCAACCGAGCGTGTTAAGCAAAATGATCTATCGCTCTGTTATCTCTTGTTCAGGCAAGTTGATATGAAACTTAATGTCAAGTACTTATTTCAGAATGCACTGAACTAAAACAAACTACCAATTTGACTAATCAATTCCTGAAGATGCGAATTAACAATGAATTGATTGATCCCAAACAACACCGGCCCAGACTAAACTATTTCTCATAGGTATAATTTCTAACTTGAGTCAGTTTAAAGTTCCGAGTGATGTGCTAGCTATTTAGTACAAGGCTACTTCACCACAACTTGCTTGTTGATGAAACCTTGCACAGTGAACTACAGAGTACCCGACATTTATTTAGGCTTTGCTAGGGATCATTGGTCGTGCGTAGACTCACTCCACGATCCTGTCAATACTAGAACCTCAAATTTCCAATAGTTACATAAACCATTTACAACTGAAGTTAATTTGCTT